ACTGTTATACTTACTAAAATCTCTCCAAGACCACCACAACGTAACACGAGGAAGAACATGTCATTGAACGAGTAAGAAAAAGCACTTTTCTTTTAAGTTGGCGAGGGGGATGGGGGGAGGGGATTAAATGCTTAGTACTTGAAAACTTGAGATACGCGTTACCATAAAGTGTATTTTTCAGGTTCTGTGTGATCAATAAATTTGCGTCTCTGTGTGTTTGTCACTTCCGGCGATATCCCAAACTGTTACCAAAATTTAACGACTGGCAATCTTCCCATCAGGGTTGTTTTATTGACTCATAAATACACTTGAATTCAATTTTATTTTTCTGAAAAATAAAACTTTATTGGTAAAAGCAAAAGGTATAAATGGTCGGTTTTATCAACTCGTATTAATTTCTATGCTCAAAGCCTTTGATCACTTACCCAGTTGCTCTGAACAGCCGACCGACAAGATGATTGCTCGTGTATTGATCCTTTGTGTGGTGCTGTTTGCAGTATTTGATACAGGTATGTCTAAGTCAGTGCTATCACTATATACTTATAGCGTCTGTTAATTTTTAGAAATTTCTCAACATCGATCATGCTTCTTCAATACAATCTTGAATCTTCAAAACACTTTTTTTTAACAAAGATGTATATTAGTAAAAACAAATCACCTAAAAGTTTAGTTAAACAATGTTACGTTATTCTAAACCAACTTTTACAACATAGTAATTATCCTGTATTCTATTACATGGTAGTTCTGAATTTACTTTGTGATTTAAAAATTGTACTTCAATTTTAATGAGTATTTAGTATAGTTCTATAAAGCACAATTATTTTGAGAATCCTTTTACAAATTAGAGACTATGCGGAACCAGTTTTTTCGCGTCACAGTGTATCCCCTGTCAGATAATACAATAGAGTTTGATATACTAGAGACAAAAGAAATATACTCACAATATATATTTTTAAAACATCGATAAACATGATATAATTTGATTTGGTTAGTTTCTTATGATAATACTAATGATTATTTTAACTATAATTGACATTCAACAGAATCTTAACTGAATGATTTACATTGTAAAATATAAATAATAATTGCGAGAACAAACATGGCCCAGATCAGTATTGTCGTAGGAAGTTAACAGACATTCCCTTTGAAATAATGTCCACGTTTATTATACACGCAAACACTACACACATGGAGGCACGTCCTTAAATTACCTTAGCTGTTAATAGGACGTTAAACAAAATAAAACCAAACCTATTATAATGATACGGTTTTATTGTCTGATGCCCCGTTTAATGTATTTATCATACTTGTGTCATTGGGCGCATACAGAGTTCACGCAGGTTTTTTTTATCGAGCCCAATCCTTCACTTTTGCCCTAATGTGTTTAGGATAACGAAATTATTGAGTACTAATGATGTAAAAGAATTATGTTATCTCGGAATATTTATATATTGTGCTACGAGAAAACGTGGAGAAATCAATGTCTTACATGGAAAATTGCTTAGGTACTTGGTAAGCTCACTTTTAACTTAATTCATATATATTTGTATACATAATCTCTTGTATATGTACTAAATGATGAACTTGTTTGATGTTTAACCTATAAGTCGGATGGCTCTCAGAAATCCACTATTTTCCCCGTTCACCTTATCAGTTTTTTTTACTGCTGTTCTTCGCCATGTTGTTTGTGGCTTCCCTCGTTCCATCAGCCGACCGGTAGATATCCTTCTGTAATGCTAGTCATTCTTCAGTACATGTCTGTAGTACCTCGCCAGTTGTTGCAGTCTGTTATTTCTCCAATCTTTGGAGGTTTTATATTGACGCCCCTATCTGTGATACCTCGCCAGTTGTTGCAGTCTGTTATGTCTCCAATCTTTGGAGGTTTTATATTGACGCCCCTATCTGTGATACCTCGCCAGTTGTTACAGTCTGTTATGTCTCCAATCTTTGGAGGTTTTATATTGACGCCCCTATCTGTGATACCTCGCCAGTTGTTACAGTCTGTTATGTCTCCAATCTTTGGAGGTTTTATATTGACGCCCCTATCTGTGATACCTCGCCAGTTGTTGCAGTCTGTTATTTCTCCAATCTTTGGAGGTTTTATATTGACGCCCCTATCTGTGATACCTCGCCAGTTGTTGCAGTCTGTTATTTCTCCAATCTTTGGAGGTTTTATATTGACGCCCCTATCTGTGATACCTCGCCAGTTGTTGCAGTCTGTTATTTCTCCAATCTTTGGAGGTTTTATATTGACGCCCCTATCTGTGATACCTCGCCAGTTGTTGCAGTCTGTTATTTCTCCAATCTTTGGAGGTTTTATATTGACGCCCCTATCTGTGATACCTCGCCAGTTGTTGCAGTCTGTTATTTCTCCAATCTTTGGAGGTTTTATATTGACGCCCCTATCTGTGATACCTCGCCAGTTGTTGCAGTCTGTTATTTCTCCAATCTTTGGAGGTTTTATATTGACGCCCCTATCTGTGATACCTCGCCAGTTGTTGCAGTCTGTTATTTCTCCAATCTTTGGAGGTTTTATATTGACGCCCCTATCTGTGATACCTCGCCAGTTGTTGCAGTCTGTTATTTCTCCAATCTTTGGAGGTTTTATATTGACGCCCCTATCTGTGATACCTCGCCAGTTGTTGCAGTCTGTTATTTCTCCAATCTTTGGAGGTTTTATATTGACGCCCCTATCTGTGATACCTCGCCAGTTGTTGCAGTCTGTTATTTCTCCAATCTTTGGAGGTTTTATATTGACGCCCCTATCTGTGATACCTCGCCAGTTGTTGCAGTCTGTTATTTCTCCAATCTTTGGAGGTTTTATATTGACGCCCCTATCTGTGATACCTCGCCAGTTGTTGCAGTCTGTTATTTCTCCAATCTTTGGAGGTTTTATATTGACGCCCCTATCTGTGATACCTCGCCAGTTGTTGCAGTCTGTTATTTCTCCAATCTTTGGAGGTTTTATATTGACGCCCCTATCTGTGATACCTCGCCAGTTGTTGCAGTCTGTTATTTCTCCAATCTTTGGAGGTTTTATATTGACGCCCCTATCTGTGATACCTCGCCAGTTGTTGCAGTCTGTTATTTCTCCAATCTTTGGAGGTTTTATATTGACGCCCCTATCTGTGATACCTCGCCAGTTGTTGCAGTCTGTTATTTCTCCAATCTTTGGAGGTTTTATATTGACGCCCCTATCTGTGATACCTCGCCAGTTGTTGCAGTCTGTTATTTCTCCAATCTTTGGAGGTTTTATATTGACGCCCCTATCTGTGATACCTCGCCAGTTGTTGCAGTCTGTTATTTCTCCAATCTTTGGAGGTTTTATATTGACGCCCCTATCTGTGATACCTCGCCAGTTGTTGCAGTCTGTTATTTCTCCAATCTTTGGAGGTTTTATATTGACGCCCCTATCTGTGATACCTCGCCAGTTGTTGCAGTCTGTTATTTCTCCAATCTTTGGAGGTTTTATATTGACGCCCCTATCTGTGATACCTCGCCAGTTGTTGCAGTCTGTTATTTCTCCAATCTTTGGAGGTTTTATATTGACGCCCCTATCTGTGATACCTCGCCAGTTGTTACAGTCTGTTATTTCTCCAATCTTTGGAGGTTTTATATTGACGCCCCTATCTGTGATACCTCGCCAGTTGTTGCAGTTTGTTGACACTGTGTTTGATTGTCAGATGTCTCTGAGAAGGTCATAGTTGTACCTAGATCTACTTTTAACAATTATGCTGGGAGGGTACGTACTCATTCCGCCTTGTTTTTGTTCAGTGATTTGATGGCTTTCTCCATGTCCTATCTGTTTATATCCTCCACATTATTATGTAGTTCTGGTTCGGTGTCCGTTTTATTTAACATAGCTGTTAACTCTTCTGTCCATCTGTCTAGTACCACCCTGTTTTTGTAGGAGTATTGCAATTTACATCTTTCCGAAAGTCCCAATTCTTTTAACATATTTCCAGACATGAGTTTGGTGATTTCGTTATAAAGATATTCATGTATCCTTTCCTTGCAGCTCCTTCGGCGTTCAGTGACTTGTCTTCCGTCCGTTTCTGTCTATCTTTCCTTATCCTTTCCTTATATGATTAAGATTGTCTTTCCATTTGAGTGTTGCTTTTGCAACCTTACCTTTTTGAACGTGTGATCTTTCTCCGTGACACAAGTGACTACTTATCCAGTGCTGGCCTATCCTAACACGTTTCCTGAAACCAATAGTTTCCTCGGCTGCTGTTGTTAAACAGTTCTTGATGTTAACCTACTTGTGTTCTCTGTTGTTTCCTTAATATGTTTTCGGTATGTCCTGACTTCCATTGCCGATCTTCTCCCTCTCCAGTTAATCAGGGTACAGTATGACTGAGTCTTTGAGAACCGACTTTTTCTGAGTTTTATATGTTTGGGTTCGAATCTTGCATATACCTACAGGTTCCTCATCGAGAGATGATTCATTGTCATGGTTATCGTCATTTATCTAACTCGAGTTAGTTAACTGTATAATGACACGAGGTTTACCGAGTGTCTTTAACAATTTAAAAATGATCTTATGAGAGTTAAATAAACATGATAATCAATCAGCACGAGTTTTGGGACCTTCTCCTCCCACCTATTTTAGATATAGAATACCATGTTTCTATTGGGAATGCATTAACTATTCCTGTTTCCGATCGGGGAAACAATTGCCACGAACTATTACAGTGTACGTCACAATGGAAGATGACGTTGCAAGATATTGTTACTTGACGTTATCAATGTAAGACTGACATTTTAAATCAAGTCCAGTGTGTTACCAGGTGGGTAACCAAAAATGTTTACCAACTCCTAGCAGGTTCATCAAATGAGCCGGGAATGAAGAAGCGTGTAGTGGCTGTAAGATAAAATATCATCACTAACTGGATACCATTCTAGTATTGCCTTGGATACCAGTTTGTCCATTATGATGCGAAAGAGATTCATATGTTTTGATACTGGTGGACTATTTTTATGAAGACACCAGCCTTAATGCCTAATTATTGACTACGTTAACGTCTCTACGTACAATTGTCTAGTCAAGGTACAAGTTCATTATATCAATATAAGAATTACTATGTTAAATTGGGTCCTTTGAATGTGACTTCCAAGGGGTTAAACTTAATGGTGACGACACCATCTTTTATGTGTCTTGTTGCACCTTAAAGAGGGATATTTATTTCGGAATATATTGCCTTATAAAGTAAACTCGAAACAAACGTATCTTATAACTAACCGTGTATTTATGTCTGTTTATATTTATTCTGTCTCGCAGTTCCAGGGGAGGAGACGCAGGCGCTGTGCAAGTGAAGTAATTCAAATTCAAATTCATTTATTGACTTTGAGCTTTACAGCTCATCAGTATGTACACAATACATATAAATACAGTGGCAGACACTGCAATAACGCAGTGGAGAATGGACAAAAAATGCATGTAGTTACATATATTTTAACATTATATCATGCTATTCCTCAACTGGGTGGCATCATATATATATTTACTTAACATAGTTAATTCTTTAACGTTCGTTGTGCTTAATAATTGAATCAGCTTGAAAACAGATGGTTTTTTCCAGTAGTACAATTTTATACGTCTTTCTCTTAAAACTTGATAAAATGGACAAATGAACAAAAAATGGTATTCGTCTTCAATATCTTCAGAGTTACAAATTCTGCATATACGTTCATTTCTTACAATGTTTCGATATCTCCC